TTTTCTTGACAGGATCTCATGGTGGGAAGGTTGATGACGATACGCCGTTACTTAAAGTAAAACAGTAATAGATCCTGTGATGATTCTTTCATGCTATCTTTAGGCAGAACAGTCAAAATCAACTTCAACTGCTAATGTATGCAACAGGTCTGGGAAAAGTTATCTGGGGTGAACATCTTAGAAGCAGCTAATGCAAAAACCTACAACCCAGAGGAGCTGGCTAGTCAATCATCTACCAAATCAAAAACTGTAAAGCGGATAGGATTTATTGGGTTAGGAGCAATGGGATTTGGCATGGCAACACATCTGCTGAAATCAAATTTTGTTGTGCTGGGTTATGATGTATGCCGGCAGATAGATTTTCTTTTCTTTTCTTTTATTAGTCTTTTTCTTTTGGGAATATAGGTTACATATCTATGCTGTATATTTTTAATTATTATTTCTGATCATACTTAATTAATATAACTGATGTGCATCTCTGAATCTGTCTTATATGCTTTAGTGCAAAAGATTCACACAGATCTCATGATAATCTCATCTTTGGTGGGTAGGTTTATAAGCCTACCTTATCGAGATTTGAAAAGGAAGGTGGAATTGCAGGGAGTAGTCCTGCTGACGTGTCCAAAGGTAATTGCACAACTTAAAGAGGGAAAGTAATACATTCTATATGATGGCTTGTTCTCGGTTGAACAGTTGGATAGTGAGAAAAATTACCCATGGAAACAATAACTAAGATTAGTATCTGGCATTGTGTTGCCAATTTTATTCAAGGACACGAGAACTTAATCTAATGTTACTGTTTCATTTGTTCTCTGGGGATATCTGTCATCAGATTGCCATTGCCAGTCTAAAAGCATGGGATTTTGAATTTTTAAAATCTTAAATATGATTTTTTTTTTTAAATTGCTTTATCTCATTATCGTATGTTAAAAAGGGTAGTCCACGAACTTGCTCTCCCTTTGACATTTTTTTGAGTAGGAGATTCCATATTTATTCAACCGTCGCTAACATACCATCACTTTCAGACGTGGATGTGCTTGTTATAATGGTCGCAAATGAATATCAAGCTGAAAGTGTTCTATATGGAGATAACGGTTCTGTGGCAGGTACGACACTTGGTTATGCTTGTATGACAACTAAGTACTAACAGGCGAACTATTTCATAATGTTGTAGCCTTTGGTGCTTAAAAATGAGAATCTAACTTTTTCTCTTTCTTGATGTTGTAGCCCTTCCTTCTGGAGCAACTCTTCTACTTTCATCCACGGTATCTCCAGCATTTGTCAGCCAGCTTGAAAGAAGATTGCAGCGTACGTTTATTATATCTGTTACGTTCTTCAATCAATACAAAGTATAATTGTTGAAGGTCTTGAAGTTGGTGATGAGTTTCATGCACGCGACTCTGCTTTCTTTTCTTTTATGTCTTTAGTCGTATTTTACTTGTAAAGGCGCATTTTATCTTCTTATGTTGGTTTTGGTTTGTTATGATCTAAGCCACGTTTACGGCTGAGATTATTTCACAACAATAAAGTTTGTTAGGAGATATTTTAGGCTCGTTTTCTTCATGTTCTGCAACATAACTGATGAATAACAATGAGGAATTGAGCTTTGCAATTTCCACGAGCTTAGATATTTTTTTCTTTTACCTCGCCAACATTAATTTTTCAAGAAATTAAAAGTTATCAAGGTGAGTTGAACGTTGTCCACATAAGTGACATTTCCTGCACAAAAGAGTTTTCAATTCAACGCTATTGAGCTGTTGATGCTGTTTCAAAGTTGGTACTTCAATAATGCATCATACTCTTAAATACTCATCCATTTCTTGGCCGCATATAGTAACCCAACTCAGAGTGTGAGGTTGTTATGTATTTTGTCACTTAATATAGAGTCTTTCGTATATTGATCATTTCGCATAAACAAAGCTCCTTTATTTATCTTTCTGGAAAACATCATTGGCTTGCCTCTGTTGGATGTTTTCTTGGAATTATTTTTGGAATAAAAACAGCCTGGATACCCTCTAATATTTATGTCCGGAACTTACGAATATGGTTGAATGGCAAAATTAGCGCACCAGAATTGTATAGTAGCTGCAAGGATTAAAATGAATGATCCAAAAGGTTCAATTTCGTTTTTCTTCAAACCCCTACCATATTTAGTAATAATTCATCCCCATTTTTCTCCCGTTGTTCTGATCTCTTCTCTTAAATTCATTCCCTCTACTAGGGTTGGGAGTAGCGGCCACATTAACACTACTCCCCCCCACTTTTTCATAAGAAAGTGGGGTAATGATAGAGGTGGAGAGTTTACAATAAATTAGAAAAGAATGGGGCTATCGCTTGGAAGAACTGGTGCAATGCTTTCTCATGATCAACAAAACCTGAACTCTCTAATCATGTGATGTGATTTTAAATCCATTTGTAATTTTTTTAATTTATGTCCCAAATCATTTGAAATGACCAGGGTCAAAGAGAGTATTATATTGCATATTCGGGTTTAGCCAACCAAGCACGGCCGCCTCCATTCTCTTGTATAGAATTATGTTTTATTTTCTATGTTGGAATACATACATTATAGTGACAGCTTCTTTTTTTTCTCAGCTGCACAGAAGGACTTGAAGTTGGTGGATGCTCCTGTCTCTGGTGGTGTTAAAAGAGCGGCTGATGGAACACTTACTGTATGCGTGTTGGTTCTTATTTATTTCTTGAATACCAATGAAAACTTACTTCAATGCTTACTGATATACTGGGAACTGTTCATATTCATCAAATGGCTGACTTAACTATTACTTTTTATTGCAGATAATGGCGTCGGGTGCAGATGAAGCTCTGGAGCATGCTGGTTCTGTTCTTTCAGGTTGAAATAATGGGCTTGATGGAGAGAAGAAAACTATAGACTCTTTGAGCTTGGAATATTCGTTTTAAAACTGAAATTGTCCTGATTATTTTGGGTGCAGCGTTGAGTGAGAAGCTTTATATTATAAATGGAGGTTGTGGTGCTGGCAGGTATCTTGTTTTCCGGCTTTCTTTGAATAAATTATTGAAATTTCTGCTAGATGATGCTTATACATGGACATTTTTCTTTGATTCCCTTGTGTATGTGGTAATTATAGTTTCAGGATACTTCCCAGTCACTTTACATTTGATTCACAACATCTTCATATTCCAATGTATTTCTGGTGATTGTTTGTAGTTGTGTAAAAATGATCAATCAACTGCTTGCTGGAGTTCATATTGCATCAGCAGCAGAGGCGATGGCATTTGGAGCACGTTTGGGTCTCAATACAAAAATGTTGTTTGATGTCATCTCATACAGTGGTGGAACATCATGGTAGGTCTGATGCATTTTAGAAAGCAGCCATTTTTTCTTTCCATCAGGGATGATTGTGATTTGTGAATATGTCAACTAATTCTTTTATGTTTTGCGAGTCTGGTTTTCCATTGACCAACTCTATTACTTTTTTATCCTTAAGCAGCTTCTCGTAGACCAGGTAGTTCTCATGTTAAATTACTCTTCATCTTGAAGTGGTGTATTCATTGTGTAATATTTTTGTACAGCAGTGTAGAAAAGTTCTATTTGCTACCACTTGCTTGCATACAAATCCCACATTATTACAGAATTCAAAATTACCCCCACCTAATCTTGTCGAAGTTCAAATGATTACAGTATCTTGTTTTCTATGACTAGAAATATACAACTGTAAGTTTGTGCTGGGTAAATTTTTACTCCTTAGAGAAGCACAGCAGAAATCTTATGTTGCTTCTTAAAGAAAAAAGTTGATTATATTTGAGGTCATTCATTTTAAAATTACATCATGAGATACGGCAGAAACAATTGTCTATTGAAGTAATATGCAAGGGTTTTCCTGATGCAGGATGTTTGAGAATCGTGGTCCTCACATGGTAGAGAATGATTATACACCATTATCAGCACTTGATATATTTGTGAAGGATTTGGTAAGATTCATGTGTGCCAAAGCAAAGTGTTCCATTTTTCCTCTTGATAGTGTATGTTTTTGGATTGTTTACTGTTCAAGGAGCTTGTTTTATATGATCATAATTCTTTTTACAGGGAATTGTCTCTCGTGAATGCTTCTCTCGTAGGGTACCACTTCACGTGGCAAACGTTGCACATCAACTATTCTTGTCTGGTGGGTAGAGGAGCTCATCTTTTAAGTCAATGTCCTTAAATCTAAGGAATGAAAAGGCGATAAATGGAGGCATTCATGAAAAATTCCATGTGATGATTGTTTGAACTTAAGTGTTGCATTTATAAAGTTATTTTCACAATTTTAACATGTGAGAAAAACTCTTTTAGTAGCATGAAACCAATTTGAAAAAATTAATGACTCCGCGATCATGTAAGTTCTACCTAATTAAGCATTAAATATAAAACTAAAAAATTTCCTGAATGAATTAGCAAAAGTCAATTGCTAGTACCAGCACCTGTGCCAATGGCTCCCAGCAAGACTTATAATAGTTCTAGACACTATGGTAATGCACTATCAACTAGCTGTCATATGTTTTTATACTTATTATATTTATTTATTTATAATATTACTAATACAGGTGTTAACATCACCGGTAGCATTTTCCTTTCTCTATCTTTGAACTAGGCTAATGTTGTCTGATCCTACGATGTGTTACTTTACGTATCTTTTCAGCCTAAGTTACAGTCCCCAGTATCTGTTCTCCTCTTGGAAATGTTGTCTATGTGGATTATGGGAAGAAATTGTGGAAATGGTCACAAATGTGTATGATGTCCATTGTTAATGAACTAATTACAAGTCAAAATTTCTTATGCTGCAGGTTCAGCTGCTGGATGGGGCCGAATAGACGATGCTGCTGTAGTGAAGGTTTGAACTTCTAATGTTACTCAAAACTTCATATATTTTGGATTTAGTTCAGGCCTTCAGGGTGAGTACGCTAATTTATTCAAAATACATTAGTTGATCGAATTAAATGGTAAAAGCAAGTAGAAAAGCACATTCCATTACGTTTATGCATCTTTTCTCTTTAACTACTAGAATTCTGCAGGTTTATGAAGCACTTACAGGAATCAAAGTTGAAGGGAACGCCCATGCTTTGAGTAAAGATTTCGTCCTAAGCTCTATTCCACCAGAGTGGGCAACAGATCCTATCAAGGATATTATTGACCTTAACCAGAAAAATTCGAAAACTTTAGTTGTTTTGGATGACGATCCAACTGGGACTCAAACAGTTCATGACATTTTCGTATTGACGGAATGGTGAGTCAACTTGCTGCCTATATTGTGCATTATTACATGTAAATAGACAATGCGCACAATTCTCAAGTGAACAAATAAAAATTTGGTGGTGGAAAATAAGAATACTAGTGTATATCTATCTATAATCTATCTATAATCTATAATCTATCTATAACTCTCTTAAAAGGAAGAGTTGTTTCTTGAAACTTTTGAATTGCCAAGAATACCCTCATAAAAAGATAAGTTTTAAGGTTATTAATGTAATTTTCTTAATAATGTTAGGAAATTACAACTTTTATTTATTATCTTTTATTTTTTATGCTTAATTATATCTTTAAGTTCTTACACATACAAAATATTACCTACGCAAATTCATATATTTCAAATAATAATTTATTAATAATATATAAATATTACCTACGCAAATTCATATACTTCAAATAATAATTTATTCTTAATTATATTATTATGAATTAATCTATATATGACATTAGGTTTCGATTTAGTTATTTTAAAGGTAGTTTTAAAATGTAAGAGAAAAAAATTAATTTAAGATTTTTTAAATAAATATATGATATTTCATAAGTGTAAAATATATAATGTACCACTAAAAGTATCATCTTTAATTTCCAAATATCATATTGTTTACCATACAAATTTTTTGTTATAGTATTAAAAAAATTAAAGAGGAACAATTTAGTGAACATGCATATGTTTAAGAATGATTGAATCAAAAATAATTATTCAACATACAAAATGTCAACTTTCTTTGGAAAAAAGTTATTTGTTAAGTAATAAAGATGTGTTCTTAAAAGAAATATTTGTTTAAATTATTCACTAAAACAATATGCATAATATGATTTAGGTTTACCTGTTAATAATATGTATAGTATAAATGTTCTTTTATAATAATGTGTTACATTGCTGCTATTAATGAGCCGCTAAACATATTTTTATACTTGTATTCCACGAGGAAACTTCATTTTCTGGTTCTAACACTCGCTTACTTGGATTACTAATTATGATTCGTTAAACATCTATTTATACTTATCTTGAGGAAATTCCATCTCCTCCTTCTACACACTAGTAGTTCTCTACATTTTAAAAACTTTCTACAACACCTACATGCTTCTACAAGTTGCATTTCCTCAACATCTCCCATTTTTTATTAGATATTTCTATAACTCACTATACATTCCTACAAAATTTTCCAAAAAAAGTCCTTACATGACCACGAACTTTTTGAGTATCTAGAGTATTCTTCCATGTTCTTTAAGCTTTTCATGAACATAGACCATCTTATTTTTTTAGATGCTCTACAAGCTTTCGGAACACAATATTTTGGGATGTCCTACATGCTTCCAGGGAGTCTAGATTTTCTTGGGACTCCTCATCTTTGAAATGCTTTCATGGTTCCAAAATGTTCCCCACTATTCTGGATCGTTCCGCAATCACCCAGGAATACTTCATGTTTTCTAAATATTCTCCATACATTAGGCACCTCAGACACTCCCGAAATGCTCTTCAGGCATCCACAATATTCTACATGAATCGGAGCATTCTTGTAAACTTCTAAAGTTCACGACATGGTTCTGAGGTGTCCATGTTGAATAAGCTCGCTCGCTTGGCCAACTCGTCTCGCCCATGATATTGGTAGATTCGGAGTATATGCACGCCCTTGTGCGGTATTCGGTCCTCTTCAGCAACAGGCCGTGACTTGAAGATGTATTAGACTTTAGATGTTTGGGATTACCAAATACAGTAATGATGAATTTGGAGGTTCATGTGGCAAATAAATCCGTTGTTTTTAAAATGCCAGAGGAAAAGAAATATCAACAAACAAGAAGAGGTTGAATTGAAATTGAGAGTTTTTCGTTCGTATCAATACCTCTGCTCTGTTGCAGCATGTGCAGGGATCATTATAGCTCTTTATGCCATGTTTTTCAATATTAATCATTTTAATAACATGCACTATACATCCCAACCCCCTCCAGAACTGAGCCATGATAATGTAATTTTTTGACATGATTTATGATTTAGTCATGTAATGAGAAAAAAGGAAATAACTATCTATAGAAACCAGTTTCTCTTGGTGCATAATAAAGGCCTGGAGTCAAGCTTCATCTGTGAATAAAATAGTGTGATTATTTTTTTTTTTTAAATTTCAGGACAGTTGAATCACTTGTTGAGATGTTCAGTCAAAAGCCCAAATGCTTTTTCATTTTGACGAATTCTCGATCATTAAGTTCTGACAAGGTAATATGGTTATACTATTTATGGATCAAGTTCTATTTTGTTTTTATTCAAGAAACATAAAGTCATCTTAACTTTAGTTCTCTACTCAATTTAATTACATAATGCAACTTCCATGGCACAGGCTAGTGCACTAATAGCAGAAATCTGCAGCAACTTGTCTGCCGCTGCAAAGACAGTGGGCAACACTGACTACACTGTGGTTCTGAGAGGGGATTCAACTTTACGAGGTCACTTTCCGGAGGCAAGGACATTGATCATTCAAACCCCATACATAACAGTATCTTCATATCTTGAGATACCATTTGATGGGTTTGATTTTGAATTATTAGGAGGCAGATGCAGCTGTTTCTGTAATTGGTGAAGTGGATGTGTGGATAATTTGCCCTTTTTTTCTACAAGGAGGCCGCTACACTATTGGAGATGTACACTATGTTGCAGATTCTGATAGGTTAAATTATTCATATACTTCATTCCTAATATCTCACTGTATTATCCAAATCATGAGCATAATTTTGGAGCATTTGGTTGACAGGCTCATCCCTGCTGGTAAAACAGAGTTTGCTAAAGATGCTTCTTTCGGTTACAAATCTTCTAATCTGCGGGAGGTTAGTGAATCAATAATACCTGTGAGATAAATAACAAATTACAACTTCTTTAAAGAACGTGTACCTTTTCTTTTGAGGTTTCAGTGGGTGGAGGAGAAAACCGGTGGTCGGATACCAGCAAGCAGTGTTTCTTCCATTTCTATTCAGCTACTAAGGAGGGGTGGACCTGGAGTTGTTTGTGATCTTCTTTGCAGTTTGAAAAAGGTAGAAAAAAGAATCACACTTTCATTTTTTTTTTCTTTTTTTTTTTATATATTTATATATATATTTCTTGTTATTCTGATCATTTGTTCCAATGATTTTGTTCATAAGAGGGACAACGTCCTGGTTTCTATTCATCAACAGAGAGAAAAAAAGAGTTCAATGTTGTAAATTTGTCTTATGATAACTATTTTTCTCAATTCCTAAATTAGAGGCAAACATATGCCTCAAATTAATTTTCTATAGTCAAGATAAAAATCTTGACCAAGCAAAAGTATGATTTTGAGGGAAAAGAGGGAAAGGGAAGGGTACGGTTACAAGACTTAAGCCTGTATAGCATGTACGTCCATAAATGCGGGATAATAAATGTTTGATTTTGAGAAGCTTGAACACTGCTGAAAGATAACGGTAAAGCTCACCAGTTATAATATCTTAACCAATGTGTGGATGAAACCATGTGTATTTTAACTAGAAACAATTAGGTCTTGTATTCTTCAACTACTATAGCTGATAAAATTTCCTTTTTCTAATAGATACTTGAATTATGAAAGCTCAGATAAAAGTGAGTACGCAAAGATTATTATCGCATCTTTAAGCTTCACATTACGCAGTATTAACCTCAACCACTGTTATGAACTCCCAAAATATGAGTCAGTTACTCAGAGCCCCAACTTTAGGCTTCAAAATTTCACAATGTAAGCAATTCAAAATGTTTCTCATTCCCACCACTTCTCTTTATGAGGCTTATGCTGCTGACTGATACAGGGGTCAACATGCATAGTTAATGCTGCCAGTGAAAGAGACATGGCTGTATTTGCTGCAGGAATGATTCAGGTAGATACTTTTTCTTCTTTTTTTTGTTGCCTTGGGATATATACTGCAGCTAGCTATATTTACAGTACGCATGAAAAAGCTGTTTTTCATCTCTTCATAGGCTGAACTGAAGGGAAAGACCTTCTTATGCCGTACGGCAGCTAGTTTTGTATCAACTCGGGTCGGAATCATTCCAAAATCTCCACTATTGCCAAGCGATCTTGCAATATCTAGAAAGAGGGCTGGTGGACTTATAGTTGTCGGTTCATATGTTCCTAAAACTACAAAACAGGTTCTAAGTTTCATTAGAAACTTTAAAGTATTTAGCTATCATAAGTATTGAATTTTCAGTATGAGAAAATAGTTTTTCCGTCGTGCAGGTAGAAGAGCTACTGTTACAAAGAGGTCATGCCTTGACTTTGATCGAGGTATTCCAGCTTCTTCTTGCTATATACAGACATTTAAAGAATGAAAGGATTGTGTATGCTGATTGGTGATGCAACCTTGTATTACAACAGGTTTCTGTTGATAGAATTGCCATGAGATCAGTAGAAGAAAGAGAGGCAGAGATCAACCAGACAGCTGAGATTGCTGATGTATACCTAAGCAGTGGGAAAGACACTCTTGTGCTTACTAGTCGGCAGCTTGTTGTAGGAAAAAGTTAGTAATTCTTGTCAAAATTGTCATTTTATCATTCCAACCCTGAGTCACAGGTGAAAGTATACATATTTATTGCTAATGAATATATTCTATTGGATTGGCTTCATGTTTATATGCTTGCTAAAAATACATATATGTTTATACATTTATGTTTGTAATAGCTACTTCCGAAAGCTTAGAGATCAACTCCAAAGTAAGCTCCGCACTTGTGGAAATAGTGCGCAGGATAACCACAAGACCACGATACATACTTGCAAAGGTAGCTCTTTTTTGGTAATTGAATGTGGAATTTCTGTGTATTCTTGCACATTCCTTAAAGATTATACTTGTTAAATAGGTTTCAGATAATCTTTCTTCATTACTAGTCTTAAATCGAATTGTGTTGTATTACATAGCCTTTATATGCCAACAGAGATTTTTTTTGTATGAAGGCTAACACTAAATAGATACATTTTCTTCTATACTAGGGTGGAATTACCTCTTCTGACCTGGCAACAAAAGCTCTAGAAGCCAAACGAGCCAAAATATTGGGCCAAGCTCTGGCTGGGGTACCCTTATGGGAACTAGGTCCTGAAAGCAGACATCCTGGAGTACCCTACATCGTTTTCCCGGGTAATACGAGGATTTTAGTAATTCACATGACACGTCTGTATATTTAGGTATTTCACTACTATCCTAAAATAAATCCAATTCTCAGGAAATGTTGGTGACAATAATGCTGTTGCTGAAGTTGTAAAACGTTGGTCGCATCCAGGCAGACTTTCAACAAAGGAACTTCTTATTGTAAGATCTATCAGTCCGCGGTATTTAGACTCCACTCCCACTTTCCAATGGACACTTAAAATTACTTTTCTGTTTTTGTGTGAAAGAATGCAGAAAAAGGTGGGTATGCTGTTGGAGCCTTTAACGTCTATAATCTCGAAGGAGTTGAGGCAGTTATTGCAGCAGCCGAGGAACAGCAGAGCCCTGCTATTTTGCAGGTTCGCATTGGATATCACTTTTAGTAATATGTTTGAACGCGATTGAACAATTCAATATCCACATTTGATACCAAATATTATTAAAAATAAAAATGGTTAACTAGTTGACACAGAATTTATGATTGAAATGCAAACTCATTATATTGGGGCAAATGATTTACTATCTAGACCAAGTGCTGTGAATGATCGTATAGCTAATATACGCAAGAAAATGGTTGCAAGATGAAGAGTCGACATATTCATTCAATTCTAATGAGAATGATCTTCTCATTCGTTATTTCTTTGGGTATTATAGTTTTAGTTTTTATTTTTCCAGATCCATCCTAGTGCCTGGAAACAAGGAGGACTTCCATTGGTAGCCTGCTGTGTATCTGCTGCAGAACACGCAAGTGTGAGTGTTATCCAACAATTTGGAAGAGCATTATGGAAAGTTTGCTTAAATCAAAACTCGTACATTTATATAAGACAAAATGGTCTTTTACTCATAAAAACACAGTAGGACTTTTACTTAAAGGAGAGACTCTTTTGGACTTCGGGTCGTCCTTTTGGAAATAGTAGTGGAGAATGGAGATCAAACCACCAGTTAAATTTCCTCCAAGCCTAAATTTGTTTTTTAAATTTCTTTAATCCTAGCATTTGAATTCAGTTTTATCCAATCATATCTGGTTATATAATTATTTCAGATACAGAGGTTCAGTGTGAATGTATATTCTTGATTATAAAGTCGATAATTTCTATGACAGGTTCCTATTACAGTTCACTTTGACCATGGAAGTTCCAAAAGAGAACTGCTGGAAATTGTGGAATTGGTAAGCTCTCTTAATTGCTGATAATACAATTGGCCAGAAATATAAAGACTTATAACCATGTAATACTATACCTAATATTTATTTCTGTATGTGGATATGCGATACTGACAGGGATTTGACTCCATTATGGTCGATGGTTCACATCTATCCTTTGAGGAAAATGTTTCGTGTACCAAGTACATTTCGACCTTAGCTCACTCTAAAAAACTAATGGTGGAAGCTGAGTTGGGAAGATTATCGGGAACAGAAGATGGCCTAACTGTAGAAGATTATGAAGCAAGACTAACTGATGTCAATCAGGTTGGGTAATTAAAAAAAAAAAAAAAGAAATGTTAAAACTAGTTTCTAGTTGAATGAAACTTTAATAAATATTTCATTTCTCAATATCATTGCCCTTTCCTAAATTTCAGGCTAGTGAGTTCATTGATGCAACGGGTATAGATGCTTTGGCCGTTTGCATCGGAAATGTCCATGGAAAATACCCTGAAAGTGGCCCCAAGCTGAGACTTGATCTGCTCCAGGTTATTAAGTATTTCAATTTGAGGTTTTCTGTCAAATTACGACGTTAAGGTTGCTATCATCATATGAAGGAGCACTAGTTAAATTAAATTACGCTTTTTTTTTCCCCTTTATTTTGTTGTTCCAGGATCTGTATGAATTGAGCTCACGTAAAGGAGTTCATCTTGTACTTCACGGCGCCTCTGGCCTGGGAAAGGATATCATCCAGGTACTCATCAGATATAAACGATGAATAGATTTATTCATTATTATTATTCAAAAAAAAAAAAANTTATTCAAAAAAAAAAAAAAAAAAGGTTTGCTGAGTGGGCGTGAATCGAACAGGAATGCATAAGCCGGGGAGTAAGGAAATTCAACGTGAACACTGAGGTCCGTAATGCGTACATGAACTCTCTAAAGAGTGTACAGAAAGATCTGGTGCACGTCATGGAATCGGCCAAAGAAGCCATGAAAGCTGTTGCTTCCGAGAAAATGAATCTCTTTGGCTCGGCTGGGAAAGCCTAAATCATCACAATGCCAGTGTTCAATAAGCAAATATAACGAGCCCATGAACTCAATGCTTTGTAATGTCCCCAGTACTTGATCCATTTCTCGCTCAAATAATAATAAATTATTATTTATATGTTATTTCTGTTGATTTTTTGGTGTGGTCATATGTGGTTCTGTTGTTGTAATTATCCTCGAAAATACTCGTGAATGCCTGTTTATTTGATGAATCAAATTCAAGTAGTAAGAATATTTCAATCGGAAAATATCTCAGCTTGTGGTCATCAGTCTCGTTCTCCATGATATGTACATTTGAGTCTTTGACCCGGTAAACACCTGTTAATTTTTTAATGCAGAGTTGCAGACGTCGAGTATAGATTCTGTCAATTAGGCGAACTGACATATCATACATTTTTTAATAAATATGGATTAATACAATTAGGCAACTTCTTCTAAAATCTCTAAAGCACTTTTCAAGTTCCTCCTCAGTCTCTAAGATGTTTTTTCCTTTGAACTCCCTACTCCTAAAATCATTTTCCTCTTAACTCTCTATTATTTAAATAAATCAAAAATAAATTAAAAATGACATCATCCCCACTACCATTCATCCCATTTTATTATTTTATTATTCTTCTCTCTCTCCGTTACTAATTTTCTTATTTTTTTATTATTTTTCTTTCTATTTCTTTCTACACGTTTTTTATTATTTTTTTCTCATCTTCTACTATTCATCTCTTCTACTACTTTTTTATTAATTTTTTTTTTTATTTTTCTTTTTCTTTCCTTCCACACAATATATAGGTACTAAATTACAACAACATTGGTATTTTCCTACTACATTATAGGTATCATTTTTGTAAACAAATATTTACAGTATATATTCATTTTCGTTCATATAAGTCGGTATTATATGACAATATATAAGTACTGAGTTACTACAACACTGGTATTGTCCTATTCCAGTATATGTATCAGTTTTGTAACTCATTAAAACAAACTATTATGAATCTAGTGTCATGCACGGATAATAGATATTCATTAATATTTATAAATTAAAAATTTTCACTAAATAATATTTATAAATTAAAAAATATGAAATCAATATGTAATACTCTCCCTATATTAATTTATTTTAAATATTATATGAAATTTAAATTGTGCAAAATTATATAAAATATGTCTATTTAAAATTAGTGCACAACTCGTATGATGTACATAACTGACAATAAGTTACATTATTTCATTTCAAAATATGTGTCATTTTAAAATTTTTATTCAAAATTCAATTTGAATACAATGTGGTTGCATAAAATAAATATTTTGGTAAAATTATTTTATCATATATTTAAAAATGTATATGAATAATAAGTATACTATTAAAACTTATATCTTTTCATTAATTAATATAAATTTATTTTTGTATAAACTATCCAAATAGAAAAATTATATTTTACTAATCTTTTATATTTTACTAATCTTTATTTCATACAAATCTATATTATACTAATCTCACAATTTTTAAGATTTGTTGTATGTTACTCTGTCGTTCAAATTTATCATATAATTCTCTACAGTTAAATTATAAATTTTACTAAAAAATATTTATTCAAAGATCTCTCTAATTTTCAAGAGGAATATATATCAACTAGTACGATACCCGTGTACTATACGGATACTTAAATATATTAATATTTGTATAATAGAAAATTTAAAATAAATTATTTTTTATTGTAAAATTATGTATAATGACTATAAAAAATAATGATAACAAAGTAGTAATTAATTCAAAATGGGGTCCGTATTTTTCACTTAATTTTCTTATTTTATTTAAAATCTATGGTAAAACGCATTAAAATGATTATTTTATGGTATATTACTGAATTAGATTTTTATTACATTTGTTATAAAATAATTTATGTTGTATTCATATTTTTGAAATTATTTTTTAATAAATATAGTTTTATTTATAATGATAGATGTAATTATTTTTTATTTTATATATGCAATATGGATGTCAAAATCGAAGACCATTGATATATGATTATTTTGAGATATAACATACAAAAAATAAAATTAAAATAAAAAATATAAAGATTTAAAAATAAAAAGAATACATATTTATAATAACAATTATTATATGAATTAAATAAGAAGAGTAAGAGTAGCATATGATAGCTTTAGGAAAAAAATAACATAAAATAGTTTATGATAGTTCTCAAGCCTAAAACCGAACATGTACATGTGTCAATACAAAGCATACAATTAATTGCGCTTTTTATATTGAAATTAATTTTTCATAAAATGAAAATTACCTAAAAATAAAATTTTGAAACTAAAGCTCTATTGAGTTCATGATCACTTGTCGAGGAAACTTAATTAAACACATTCAAATACACATAGAAACTAATGTATAAGTGATTTGAGTAATATAAACATCATTTAAGACCGAAATTCGATGTTTTTTTTATGATTCGTGGGAATTGGTACTGAAGATGCAATATCAGGTACTAAAGTACCATTTAATGGATACTATCTAACTCTAGGAGTGGTACTACTTTTACAAACATTGACCAAAATTAAAGTAATTCATATTGGCTGACCAAAGTAGGTACTAATTGATTAAAAACATGTACCGAATACAAACATTATTGGTACTATTTCTAGGAAAACAGGTATCATTTTACTAAGCGTGATTTTATTAATCCTTCACATCTACCATGATGTGTTGAATTCATGACCAATTTGCGATTAAACTTAATTAAACACATTTTAAATCTTATAGAAACTAATGTGTGAGTGATAATGAGTCATATAAACATCATTTGAGACCGAATTCAGTGTTTTTTTATGTTTGCCGCAGTTGGTACTAAAGACCCAATATATGGTACTAAAATTGAAATAATCCATTTTCGTTAACCAAAAGTAGGTACTAATTGATTAAAAATAGGTACTACGCAGAAGAAGTGGTACTATTTCTGTCAAAACTGATATCGTTTTAGTAATCATGATTTATTTAATCCTTGCCACGTGGATCGTTCACATGTGATTTGGTTGAGAAATAGTCGAAGTTAAAACATATAGGTAGAATTTGGAGTAGTCATGTATGATCATTCAATGACATGAAGTATGTCTTTTAATGGGATGAAGTCTATTAGTAGTGTTTTTTCATTAGTGCGTTGAGTTCGTGACCAATTTTCAATGAAACTTAATTAAACACATTTTAAATCTCATAGAAACTAATTTGAGAGTGATAATAGGTCTCATAAACATCATTTGAGACCGAAATTCGGTGTTTTTTTTTTATGTTCGTCGGAGTTGGTACTAAAGACCCGATATCTGGTACTACAACACCAAAAGCTGGTACTATCTTACTCTAGGTCTGGTACCAATTTTTGCAAATGTTGACCAAAATTGAAGTAATCCATTTTCCCTGACCAAAAGCAGGTACTAATTGATTAAAAACAGGTACTACGCAGAAGAAAAAGCGACACTATTTCTGTCAAAGCTGGTACCATTTTAGTAATCGTGGTTTCTTTAATCCTCCATGCCCACCATGCCACCTGGATCTTTCACGCATGATTTGGTTGAGAAATAATGAAAGATAAATCATATACGTAGAATTTGGAGTAGTCATGTATGATGATATTATGAGATGAAGTGTGTCATTCAATGAAATGAAGTGTATTAGTAGTGATTTCTCATTAGTGTGAGAGTGATTATTGGTCATATAAACATCATTTGAGACCGAAATTCGGTGTTTTTATGTGTTCATTACCAGTGGTACTAAAGACTCAATATTTGGTACTAAAACACCGAAAGATGGTATTACCTTGCTCTAGGTCTGGTACCAATTATTGCAAATGTTGACCACAATTGAATAATCTATTTTTGTTGACCAAAAGTTGGTACTAATCGATCAAAAACAGGTACCACGTAGAAGAAGTTGCGGTAATATATTGGCTAATACAGGTACTATTTTGAGAATCGTGATTTCTCTAATTCTTCATGTCTACCATGACACGTGGATTGTTAACGCGTGATTCAGATGAAAAAGAGTGGAAGTTAAAACATATAGGTAGAATTTGGAGTAGTCATGTATGATGATTCTATGAGATGAAGTGTGTCATTCAATGAAATGAAGTGTATTAGTAGTGTTTTATCATTAGTGTGTCGAGTTCATGACCAATTTACGATTAAACTTAACTAAAATTATTTTAAATCTCATATACAAACTAATGTGAAAGTGATCATGGGTCATATAAACGTTATGTGAGATTAAAATTTGATGTTTTTATGTGTTCGTTACAAGTGGTATTGATGACCCAATATCCGGTACTAACACAATACAAAACTGGTACTATCTTACTCTAGGTCTGGTACTACTTTTTGTAAATGTTGACAAAAATTGAAACCATTCATTTTCGTTCACAAAAGTAGGTACTAACCGATTAAAAAGAGGTATCAATGTGGTACTATTTTGGCTAAAACTGGTACTATTTTAAGAATAGTGTTTTCTTTAATCTTCCATGTCTACCTTTTCACTTGGATCGTTAACGCGTGATTTTGATGAAAAGTAGTGGAAGTTAATACATGTAGGTAGAATTTGGAGTAGTCATGTATGATGATTCTATGAGATGAAGTGTGACATTCAATGAAGTGAAGTGTATTAGTAGTGTTTTCTCATTAGTGTGTCGAGTCCATGACCAATTCGTGATTAAACTTAATTAGAAATATTTTAAATCTCATATAAACTAATGTGAGAGTGATCATGGGTCTTTTAGACATTATTTGAGACCGAAATTCAGTGTTTTTATGTGTTAGTTACAAATGGTACTGATGACCCAATATCCGGTACTAACATAATACAAAACTGGTATTATTTTACTCTAGGTCTGGTACTACTCTTTGTAAATGTTGACCAAAATTGAAACAATCCATTTTTGTTCACAAAAGTAAGTACTAATCGATCAAAAAGAGGTACCACGTAGAAGCAAATGCGGTACTATTTTGGCTAAAACAGGTACTATTTTAAGAATCGTGTTTTTTAATCTTTCATGTCTACCTTTTCATGTGGATCGTCAACACGTGATTTGAATGAAAAATAGTGGAAGTTAAAATATATAGGTAGAATTTGGAATAGTCATGTATGATGATTCTATGAGATGAAGTGTGTCATTCAATGAAATGAAGTGTATTAATAGTGTTTTCTCATTAGTGTGTCGAGTTCATGACCAATTTGCGATTAAATTCAATTAAAAACATTATAAATCTCATATAAACTAATGTTAGAGTGATTGTGGGTCATTTAAACATCATTTGAGACTGAAATTCGATGTTTTTATGTGTTCGTTACAAGTGGTACTGATGACCCAATATTCGGTACTAACACAATACAAAACTGGTACTATTTTACTCTAGGTTTGGTACTATTTTTTGTAAATATTGACCAAACGAAGAATTTAAGCAAGCAGAGCCAAGCCTTAATAAACCAAACCGAGATCACGAGTGTCTTGTTTTGTTTAAAAGCTTTATTTGTGGATACTATTCTGTTAAAACATTTTCTAGACTAACTATAAGTCTCCCCATTCTGTGAAGCATCAAAATTAAAGTTCAATTTTGCAGACTTTTTAGGGTATCCATCAAAGTTACATCATAAATAAATTCTCATGTTGGCATGTGGATAGCAGAAACAGCAGTAGCACCAGTTGAGTATGGGTAAGTTTAAAAGACAATTTTCTCATGTTATATCCAATAAACCAAGCAAATGATCCGAAAGTAGGTTAACGTAAAATTGATTTTTTAGCTCTAAAAACTCCAAATACACACACACACACACACACACACACAACTCATTGATAATAGTGAAAGAAAAAAGAAATAATAAAATGAACTCCAAGCTTCTATTTTCAACCTTTCCAAACTTCAATCATGATTATAAAACTTCAACAAGAATGCCATTAAAACAGGAACAAGTCAACAGACAGACCCAACATTCATTTAGATGCAAATTTCCTTCTTAAGATCGATTCTAACTCAAGCAACCTCAAATAAATTAATAATAACAGCACAGGCAAAAACAGTATTAAATATGCAGATCTAATCAAGCAATTCCATAACTATACATGAGGGCAACGGGCGAAAATAGTATTAAATATGCTCCTAGTAGAAACCCTAGCCCTAATTTTCCTCCCCACTTTCAATACCCAAAATCAGTTGAGGCCGGCGTTAGGTTTCCGAGAGGCGGTGGCGGGGCTTTTCTGGTACTTCAATTTCTGGTACTCTGCCTCTAGTTGCTCCTCTTCCTCCTCCCCGCCGCTAGAATATTTCGAATCCGAAAGTTCGAGTTCCTCTCGGCTTTGCGAACGCCCATGGTGGTGGTGCAACGGAGAGAGAAGACGGGAATAGAGAGAGAGAGTTGAAATCTTTTCTAATTTTTAATAATTTTAGTGTAAAATAAGTGAATAATAATAAGAGTAGTATATATATGGGGAGTGATTTGGAAAGAGAAATTAGCTTTAGGGAGTAGAGGAAGTTTAAAAGTGGTGGGGACTGACAAGGAAGTTGAAATGTGTATTAGGGATTTATAAGGAATTACCACAAAAATAAATGTGCAACAAAAAAATCGAATACACAGCAACCAACAGTTGAATACACAGCAGCCAATAGCTGAAAAAGAGGGAGGACAGGTCCGAAGACCGCCTAGATCCGACCCCAACAGGTTAATAAACGAAAAAACAAAAAAAACTACTGACAACACATAAAACCCCAACAGGGTAATACAACACATAACAACCCCAATAGGGTAATGCTCGAGTGTAGATCCCAGCAGGATAATAAAGGCACACTCGAGCTCACTGAGGCCAACGACCCAGACCAAAAACACATCTAAACAACACACAAAACTAAAGAACTACAACATAACAGAAGGACAAAAGACACAAACTAAACACAAAAAACACAGAAAAAAATCGAGCCCTTCCAAAGCTGCAACACCGAACCGAGCTAGCAGACACAAGCCAACCACGAATCCCAAAGCTATAAGCACCAACCCGAAACTGCCAAACCACTCGGATGCCTAACGGATTCGAAACTCCAACTCCGGAATCACAGCAGGCCAACCTGCACCACGACCACAACACCCAATTGCACCCTAAAGACAATGGAGTGCCACGACCCCGGTCCCGACCCCAAAATGTCGACCAGCTGCACAACACGACCACGCCACCGCTGCAACACCCCAACCAACACCACTGGAGGAAGAGTTGAAACGCCGGCGCCCAACGACCCGAAAACGAGGCCAGGGGATGGCCCAGCGCACCCAAGCCACACCGACGCACAACAACCAAATCGCCGAGCAATCGGCCCGAATCCCACCCTGAAACGGCACCACGGCTCCACCATTTCTACTTGAATGACTAAAAAACATTTTATTTTGTGAGGTATTTGACTATAGCATGATCCACCATTTAACTCGTGTTGAAAAATTAAAATCTTAAAATAATTTGTAAGAATTTTTTTTTTTTAAATTAACGTATATTTATATTAAAAATTGTTTTATCGTGATAGATAAAAACCAAAGCATATTAATTTGACGCGGTTTCTTGTTCAAAGTCTCTTCTCTGCCTGCACCCCATTTCCCCTGTTCTCTCCGATTTGTTATCTTCTTTTGACAAAAGTACCTGTTGATCTCTTCAATTGATCATCACCCATCAATCATCAGGTATGGAATAAGATAAACATAGCAACCTTTTTCAACAACATAATTTTCCGATATCTAAAGGAGGGAAATTCGATTGAAATCGAATGGGGTGCTGCAGCAGCAAGAGCGTCGATTCCGATGTGACCCGCCTCGCACGGTGGCGCTCCACCGGAATTGTGGCGTTGCGCGACTCTAAACTAAAGGCACGATCCTTTTTCTGATTTTGATGTTTGATGCTGTTTATGGATTTTGATGTTCGAAAGTATGGTTAAAAATCCGATGATGACTCTACTTGTCTGGGTTTAGCGCCTTTCTTTAGGTTCTTTATGCAATGGTATGAACGGCGTAATCTTTTTTGAGTTAGGGGAAATTAATATGAAATTGTAGTGTGAATACAAGTGGTGTATCAAAAATTAGCTCAAACTCAAGGTTGAATATTTTGGGAAAGATACTTCCAAATTTAGCTTTTATATGAAAAGTCAAAACTCAAATTATGTATCTATTAGTGATATCACTTTTTACTTTTTCAAAAGGATAACTTTATAGTATGATGGTGAAAATTTGAGGTTAAAAGAACATCACTCACAGCATTGAGAATTTAGTTATGATGGAGCATGAGGAAAATCAAAAGCTGGCATTTGCTAACATTTGGCAGAATGGGGTTGAGAAATATTTCAAGTTTACATTTGCTGCATGGAACTTCTATAAAAATTGTTTATGCTAACTGGTATGTACTTGTGTGTGTTGCTTTTTTTTCCCTTTCCTTTCCTCCAGAGATTTCCAGATGAAGTTCTTGATTTAGAAAGATCAGTCCGCACTGTTGATTTCACTCACAACAAATTAGGTAGTGCTCTTTTAGCATCTAAAGTGATATGATGTGCTTTTATTCTCATTTAAATACCTATTTTATCTCGAAACACTAGGCCAAAAATAAACCTTTCTTCCAAAGCCCATTAATTTTGCCTACTTCTTGACACACTGCACGGGGCACGAGATGGCATGGTCAAGCACGGTCATGCGTAGCTGCGCATGATGTTAAACATCTTTGGGTGATGGTGCATGATGCTAAACTATTTGGTTCTAATCATTACATATCAACCTGTTGCCCAAGCACAGTCGTGCATGGCCGTGCATGTAGACTTTAAATTTTTGACATGTCATGACAGTCCCTAGCCATGCCGAATTGTGCACGGACAGGTTTAGAAATCAACGTCCAAAGTGGGCAAAAAATATGTTTTTTTTTTTCTTACTTGGAAAAAAAAGAGATGTTAGGTTTTTGTTTTTCTCTCAGTCTTCTTGTACTTCAATTTGTGTTGATGGGTTTTATCGACATGCATGTAATGCTTAGATTCATACTCGTTAACTTATACACTTGAGGTCCCTATGTCATGATCACTGCAAAATGTTGACGCTGCACATATTGATGAAATTGGAATCCCTTTTTTTTTTCTATTTTTCTCATCTCATTGCCTTCACTTTTCTAATATCTTTTACTATGCTTTTGGCAGTTGATATCCCAACGGAAATAAGCAAATTGATTAACCTGCAGAGGCTGGTAAGAATTACTGAAGTCGTTTGATTTTATGTTATTATATCAATACATACAATCACTATTCAAGTTGTGAATTAATTCATTCACGATCCTACGATTTCGTTTAAGAGATTCTTGATAGAGAGAGAAATAAATAAATGATGTGTGTATTGGAAATAAATATTGTTTGACTTTCCTTTAAGCAATTAATTTTTGTGGAACTTGTAATGTAATTGATTGATTAGCGAATTGAAAGAGCAAAGGGAAGGTGGAATGTTTGGGTCTACTATAAGGAAGTAGATTTTGATAGAATTTTCCGTAATTGTTCGAAGTTTTCTAGTTTTTTATATCTCGTCATTTAAACCATTCTATCTAGGTTCTTTAGATTGTGATTTGACGTATATCATAGAATGCATGAGGATCCATATTGGATGTCTTTGAAAGGGATAGGGACAAGTTCACATTATCTACTACATGGGAAAACTTCTTGTAGGTTAAATAGCTCTCTAATTAGTAAGAAGACCATTCTAATTGTTTTATCACTTTGATGGGCATGTAGTTGAGAAAGATAATTAAGATCTGTTGCGCTTTCTTGTGCATTTACCATGGATAAGTGCAATCCACTCTGAAGGTAGTCCACAGCCAACATAATTATACATTATTCAGCCACTCATTTTTACAGATTTTAGCTGATAACCATATAGAGCGTCTTCCAATGAACTTGGGGAAACTTCAGTCTTTAAAAGTTTTGACACTTGATGGAAATCGAGTTAGCACATTGCCTGGTGAAGGTAACTTTCATGCATGACGTGTGCCCATGCAATTGGTTTTGTGGGTTGAATATTCCCTTATTATTAGCTCAATCATTAATAATTTAATTTATTTGGTTTTATTTCAGTGGGTCAACTGGTGAAACTGGAGAGGCTATCAATATCTAGAAATTTGTTACAAGATTTACCTGATACTATCGGGAGCTTGCGTAATGTGAGTAGCTGGCTTGTTATTTTGGAATATCTTTATCTAGCTTTTTCGAATTCATGCAATGACACTAATTGTTATTTTGTTAGATAGCATCATGGTAATACTCACTTTATTGGCTTCACCTGGTGTTTATCATGTTGATCTATGGTAACTTTACATCGCTACCTTTGTGTCACCTGTTATTTGAATTATGGCAAAATTTCGAAAAAGATACGGTAAATTTTGGGGATGAATACGTGCTCTATCTAGGCTCACTTATCAGTGTATCTCTTTTGAAATTTTGCTTGTGAAGTTTAGATATTGGGGTATTGACTTGCTCGCTGTGGTCTTTGAATTGCCTCTGTTCTTTTGAAGTCATCATATGATATGTACTCTATTAGTTTCATTGATCAAATGATGCAAATTCTTGGTTTTGCAGTTGGTGATATTAAATGTGTCGAACAACAAGATAAAGTTTCTTCCCGAATCGATTGGTAGTTGCTTCTCTCTGGAGGAAATTCAAGCTGATGGTAAATTTGGATCTATTCATTTGTCATTCTTGCATTGATGATGATTGTCACCTTCATGGGCCTTTCATATTTCTAAGTTTGAAAATGTGTAATCTGATGTAGAATAATAGACTAACTCTAGTTATAAGGTTTTTAATTAAACCAGATCTTATTCAAAAGGAAATATATTATATATTTAGGGAAAAATCGTAAATAGTTTCTAGAGTTTAGATACTAAATTAATAGGCTAGTTTTAGAAATTGTAAAGGAACTTTAATGTAAATAAGTAACGGACTTTACTTAAACATTGAAAAAAAAAATTATGCATAAGAATCTTAGCAAACATTGGAGAGTAAAGTAAGCTGGTTTCAAAATTCAGAACCTTAACTAGTTCTTCAGTGGACGGTTCTAGGCCCATTGTAGTTCGAAACTAGTCAGTTTTAGTCTTGCAGATCCTTTACTTTTCTTTGCGTGCACTTTTGTAGTTTTCTTTCATTCCGTGCCTTCTTGTTTTGATTCTTTAATCTCAACATATTTAATGCAGACAATTTTATAGAAGAACTTCCATCTTCAGTGTGCAATCTTGTTCATCTCAAATCGCTCAGCTCGAACAATAACAACATGAAGCAGGTTTCACTTTGGATCTGAACTTGTTATTTTTCTTAACTTCAGGTTTTTCAGTAGGTTGATTTTGTCAATTAACATATTATAAACCTTTACAGATACCTCCAAACTTATTGAAAGACTGCAAAAGTCTACAGAACATATCCCTGCATGGCAACCCCATCTCGATGGATTATTTTGAAAAGGTATGATAGCAATACATTCTAGCAAAAAGGGTGGTGTGGGCATCAGAATTTACTACAATAATTTCTGAAAGTGACCTTTTTACCCTTCAGATGGAAGGATTTCAAGATTTTGAAGGCAGGAGGAGAAGGAAGTTTGACAAGCAGATTGACTCAAATGTTATGCTCAATTCCAAAGGCCTTGATGAGGGTGTTGATCTGTGAATGCTTGCTGCTGCAATGTAAGACACGTAAATCTCTTTTGCAGTATCTATTTCGTTGCATAATTTTTTTGAGACACATTACTGTCAGATAGTTCCCATAAGATTAAATCTTTAAATAAAAAAATAATCCAGAAAATAACTTAATGGTATCTCAAAGAAAAAACTAAAAACCCAAATTCGAAAAGGACAATCCTAACTGAAAATTTTCATAATTTCTTTCCATTCTTTTAAAGAATCTTCGATTTGCAGATATAATCTTTATGAGTTGGTTGGACTTCGCTATGATAGAGAAAAACTGAGAAGCAATGAGAAAAACGATCTACTGGTTATTCTGTGAAATATTGTTGTGTTCCTCGTTTTAATACGACTTTGTGTGTATGCGCAGTTTGTGAAGTAGCTGTTGTGGAGGCGTGAATATATTTGAACCGAGACGAGGACCAACATGTGGTTAGCCATTACTGGAGATTTATTTATTATTGAGATTTTAGTGCTCTAGCTATGTACAAATGTTGCTTTTCTTATATTTTGATTGGGATCGTGTAATAAACTGCTGGAAAGCTATAAGCCCTGGTCAAGTTTTAAAAGAACACCAATCTGTAACATTATATAACTTCAATATATGAGAACAATATTATTATCATTGCCTGTATTTTGTATACATGCATACAGTAGTCTGTTGCATCTCAGGTAGTTTTTTTACTGGAACATCCATTTGGGGTGAAAGTTGCCCAAACTCATTACTCGAGGGACCAAACTAAAACAAAAATATTTATATTAGGACCCCGTATGAACCGAACAAATCATGCACAGGGTGGATAGATGAAGGTACAAAGAGATGCATGAGTTGGTGAGGTATGTTTAAATCGAAACCTATGTCGTGCAGGGTTTTAGGTTCAGTATTCTTGTAAAATGGCCACAAAAGAGCTTTAATGATTTGATCATCTTCTTCATCAGGGAGTTTTGGTTCGGGTTGTGGGTTGGAGTGAGGCTCGTCGACTGCAGTAGCCTCCGGCCATAGCATGGCTATTGCATCAGACAAGTACTGATCGTCAAGCTCCGGAAAATGAAAATCATCAACATTTTCTGACATGTTAACTAAATCTTAANGTTGACTCTCTTTTTTTGCATGATGGTGGAGACATTAACTTTGACATATATAGTTTTTAGAAATCTAAATTCATGAGGCATTTTTAGTAAATTTTGAATTTTTTTTAAAAAAAAATTAAATTCACCTGGGAAAATTGATTTCGAAAATTTGGCATATTAGGAAGTCTCAGCATAAGGATGTATGTATGGAGACAAAACTTAAATACTTGCTATGATGAGACAGATTCTCGATTTTATTAGCATTTTTAAGTTGAATCCATTCATTTGTACATTGTGTATACTACATTGCAATTTTAGAAATAAATATATTTACAATTGACCATGTTTGATTATGAGAATCGGATTTTAACTCAATGTAAAGGACTAAACGAGTAATTTTTTGAATTGTTTTATTCAGAAGGAAATGATTGCATATTTTGGTAGAAAAACAATTTTGACAACATTACTGAAGTTTACATTTTAAATTTAAGTCATATTTGATATCACCTTGCACGCATAAATTAGTCAATTATTAATTAATTTATTATTTTGCAAATTTAATTTAGTACGTTTATAATTAGGAACTAAAGAAATTTGTATATCATAAAATTTTAACTCAATGACTACTAATCTTTCTAAATAGTATCTAATTGATGAAAATGTTTATAATCAGAAACTAAAGAAATTTGTATTTCTTAAAAATTTAACGTAATGACTACTAATTTGTTTCGAAATATTACTATCATATCATCTAAAAAATATTATCCGCTACTTAGATCAATTATTTGCTATTAATCATCAACTAATTACTAACTGACCAATGCAACAGCACATGTTGTAGCACATAAAAAAACTGCATATCTATCAATTAATGTGACAGGAAATTAATATATGATACATTTATACATTTTTGTTAATATAGTATTTGATAGAACATTTATACATTTTTGTTAATAAAGTACGACTCAATAACAATTTGTGTAGCCCTACCTAAAATGATTGGATGCATATTTATGTTATTTCTTTTTCGCTCAAGCCCTTTAAATCGCCTTTTATCAGTAACGTAATAGTCAAATGTCATGATGCAAGTAGCGTTTTTCAACTTTTATTTGACGCCACACGGTAAAAAGCGTCGCTTTTTACAGAACCACTTCAAATCAATCTCTCTCTCTCTCTCTCTCTCTGTCAAATGAACTGAATTGTCAATTTTGTTTAAGAAAGAGGCGCCACAATCTGAGCTCCTCCAATAAGACGTCATTAATTCTTCTTTCTTCAAATTCAGGTGACCGCTCAGATTTCCTTCTGAACTTGTTTTTTTTTTTCGACTTAATTTGAGTTGATTTTCCGTGATTTTCAAGAAAAATCGTAACTTTAATGAGTATACAGTATACACACAGCTTGAAGTTTGCATCTTTGAACTGCTGTTTCTTGTTCTCGATTCAGTTACCTTGATTTTTCGGGTTTTGGGCTGACTTCGTTTCCTGTGGACATTTGCATAAGATTTTCACTTATTTTTTATCTTTAGTGGCTGGGTTGTAGGGCGCTCTAGATTGTTTGATTATATGGAGAATTTTTTATTTTTATGTATCTGTTCGATTTTCGACGTTTTCCCATGTGTTCGTTGTTTCTTGTTATGTTTATTTACAACATATGCCTGACAGCTTTGATGATTTCTTTGATATTTATATTACTGGATTCTTTCAATTATGAGTTATGTGAAACTCACTATGAGCTTGGAAAATTATAAAATCTGGATTCATTTGCTTAGCAGATTCTCAGAAGTTCTCATAGTTTGGTCAGTGGTTGTTGCTTAGCTACATCCTTGATGTTATTTGATGTTTTGTTTAATCATTTTTTTAAGTTGTTTTCCTCTTAAAAGATAGAGGCCAGGAGTTGGGCATTTGGCATAGATATTAGATACACACTCACACAGTGGAACATATGGGCTTACTACAGCCTACAAGCACACATTCTCTCTCTCTCTCTCTCTCTCTCTCTCTCTCTCTCTCTCTATCTCTCCCTGCACTTGTGTGTGTGCGCGCACGAGGCCCTTTCTACTTCCACATGTTAAAACAATGCCACTACTTTGTCAAATCTCGTTTTCCTCTTTTTGTATCTTATTTTTGTTAAACATATCACTGTTAAACAATACACTCACGTTCAACTTGTCTAAGGGTGATGTCAAGGCCTATTGCTTGGTGGCCCCTGGGAGATTAAGATGATATCAACAACTAGGAAACACGTTATGATTCTCCATTTTTTTTTTCTCGATTATAGGGTGACAAGTTATTGGGAAGTCTTAGGGGAATATTCTCCAAGATATGGATGACTCCCCCAATTACAGGTCCTATGATTACCAAAGATTTTCCATTTTGCGTACTTTATTGTATCTATTAATGTTCAATCGCCAAATGAGTCTACAAATAGTGAGCCATTAGGCTTGTTGAGATGTAGGGTTATAAACTTACTATTTCTGTGGTTTAAGACTTTGATGGTCATGAAGATGATCCAGTAAAAAGAAAGGTCAACCATTTGGAGCATAAAGTTGGTATGTTTGTGAATGCTGAACTGAACATCCCATAAATCAAAATTATGTCTTACTAGAATTCTGAACTTTGGTCATCATTAGTTTTGTTTCTTTAATTCCTGCTTACTGGTGAGTTTAATACCATTCAAACCCAAGATATGGTCGTATAAATATATTCCCGCAGATGCCTGCGTAACTTTTCAAATTTTATGCAGTCTTATTTATGGAAGTGCACTCGTGGTGTCATTATACGATTCTGCAATGCTTTTTCCATGTGTACATGCCGATTTTTTATTGTATTCTAACATGACAGGTGGAAAAGGTGAAACCAGATGATGCCCTCTTAGATTTAAGTAATCTCTTGCTGGATCTGAAGGATATGGCTGTGGACATTGGATCTGAAATCGCTAGGTTAGTCGGGCTTTTTTACCTCATAATTGTCATCATGACTTGCATTTGCTAGCTTTGCAGAATCAGTTTGTTATAACAATAATTTTTATTTTATCTATTGGTATTGACCAAAATTCTTCTTTCTTTTTTCTTTTCCTTTTATCAATGCCGGCAGAAGAAAGCCCTGGATCATGTTCAGGATGATTTAGACGAGCTGAATTTTTGTGTCAAAGGTGCCAATCAGCACAATCATCGTTTACTTGGAAAATAGAAGATTGACTACCGGACACTGCTATTTGACCCTTGGCTAGGGCTTCTGTGATCTACACTGTAATGTTTTCATATTACCATCACTTGTACTTATATGGATGTTCACGTGAGGTTCAGATTTACTTAAGCTCAATTGTAGTTATTATTAGAGAAATGCTGTATTCAAACTTTTGTATGGATTTTGACAGTGTGTGCCACACGTGTTACAACAAAACTGGGTTGACTTTGGTTATTAATTTCATTTGTGATTAATGGAAGTCTATATTTTAGATAAAATTCGATGGTTTATCGAGTGTGAAGCTACTCTGCCAAGTGCCAGTCAGTTTTGCCCCGTTAAGGTTTTAATAAATTACTGTTTTGTGCAGCCAATTGCTAAGTATGTATATAGAATTTGAGCCTTGGTTTGGCTGTTCTTTTCATATAAAGCAATAACATATGACAAGCTTTGCTATTACCTTTAATACTATGAATTTTTATGTGAATCTATTACTTAAACTTTTCATGCATATGTTAATTGTTTTTCTCTTTTTCTTTTTAGAAGGTGTATCGTCTATTTCTAGTTGTAGTTTGTTATTTTTTTTTTATCGTGGTGTATCTTGTTACAGATTATATTCTTTGATTTGGAGTGAAGGTCCGTTGGTGATTTCAGATAAGTTGTAAGTTTTAGTATGATTATCTATTTAGCATATCTAGTCCTTGAAATACATTCTATAGTCTCTCTTTGATTTTGAGTGCATAGTAAGACATGTTATATCAGTCAGCAAATCCTAAGACTCGTTCATTCATTATGATTTCCACTGTAAGTTTGACATTCTAAAGCAAAACTTACATAGTTGATAAAGTCTTACCCCCAGATCTTGCGTCGGATTGTGGGCCAGGATTTTCCGCCTTGTTTTTGCCTAGTTATGGAGATAAGTTAGGTAACCACTGATTGTTGGATTGTCAATATAGTATTTACTCGTCTGGCGCTCTTGGGTTTTGGTTACATGGTTGACATTTACATTTAATACGATACGTCATTCTTTTATGTCATTTTATTATTTTAGCTGGTATATTAATGTTATATAAGAATATGGCTATGTTTGGTAAAACTAACTGATAGCTTATAAGTTAGCTTATAGCTTATAAGTGATTTTTGCTAGCTTATAGCTTATAAGTGGTATATAACAAAATGGCTATATTTTACTCGAGCTATATGGATCTTGGTAGATTTTATTTATTTATTTATTTTACCTCTTACAAAAATCACAAGCTGCTCATTGATTAGGGCATTAATGGTGTCAAGTAGAAAGGTTCATGGCTCACTTGTTTTTCATCAAGTTTTAAATACACAAAACAAAAACTCCTTCATTACTTGTTCATATTTTTCATCTTCAGACACTTTCTATTCTTCTCTTTTCCTTTACTATCTATCACCAACATTATGACTAAACCATCATCGACCACCGCCGGAAACTGGATTCCGGCCGCCATTTTAATAGTCCTGATGGCGGCAGCAAACACAGATTGTTCAAGCTTAGCCGGAAAAAAAACCTTGACCAACGATAATAATGTGAATAAAGTTTTCAACCCTTTTAATTGTTCTCTTAAGAGTGGTGCTTCGGTCGACCCTAAGTATGGTGTTGAGATGCGACTTGTTCCGAGTGGGCCCAATCCTCTGCACAACTGACTTCATCATGCACAAAACTTATTATTATCTCTAGTAATCATTCTCTTTCCTTTTGTAGTTCTTTTCTCTTTCCTGAATTTCGAGCATTGATGTTGAAGCTCTATTGCTAGTTATGGTAAAAATGTTTTGTTTGAAATGTTTCTGGGTTTTGTAAGCATCAATCAAA